ATAGGTGTACCTCCCAGTTTGGCCGCCAATTATGACTTCATTCCTTTAAGTCGCACACTCAATACTTTTTGGCAGCACCTTTTTTCCCACCTAATGTGTTTTTTCATAAAATATCATGGTTTTTTGTCAATACCCACTGACAAATCATAACAAGTAAGACAGATAGCAACCCAAATTAGCTTTAGGATCGCAACCCTACTATTCGAAACAGACCTTTACTTTACAGAACTAACCAGATTCTTTAAAACATATGGTGGTGTATTTTCTCTCTAAAACGGTGTTAATAGCTTCCTTTACAGTAACGCCAAGAAATTTAGATTAACAGTTTATTGTAATCACCCCATGCAACTTGTTCAGCCGTATCAAGCATCATTATTTATGCTAATTGCTTAAGTTAATATCACATGACGCTAAACGCTCTTTAATTAGGGGAATTTACATATTTACATTTACCATAAAAGTATGCAAGTTGCTTTCTAATTTACTCTGTCTCCATGGCTCAGCGGTGAGTCTGAGGGCTAATAACACTAAAAATCGGGCTTCGATACCCGTGGTGGTCACAGCACAGTTAGCCCATTGTGTAGCTTTGTGCTTTACAACAAGCTAACAAACAAATAGTTTAATATATGTACAATATATATATTAAGAAATGATGGATCATTCTATACTTTGTACTTCTGACTTAATAAACCTAAGCTACAGCAGTAATACATTACGCTCATTTCTAAAATAACTCCATTGTATTGAACTTTAAATTTGATAATAACAAACTTGAGGAAATATACAGAAAAACATAGAATTTTAATATTTAATAACAGTGCTAAGGCATGAAACATTTTGGGTCATTTAAATTTTAAAAGTAAGAAGTATATTTCATTCTCCTTTTTTACTGCACCAATAATGCGATACACTATGCTATATTTTTGTACTACAGTACATGTATATGTTTCAACATAACGTTGATCTGTCGTCGTCAGTTTTTAGTTGTACCTGAGGAATAAAGACTAAGGTTCTGCTGAAAGGTAAATATTTACATCAAGTACAAAATCTACAATCAAAAAAATTATTGTGTGGTATTAATATCTATTTTCCACCTTAAAATATTAAGTGCACGATGTGTTTCCCTACACAAGCTCAAATTTAAAATAAAAGTTAGTAACACAATTAAAGATAAAATAAAACAATTAATCCAACATGAAACAAAATAAAAATGCATCACATAATTACCACCTATTCGATAATATAGTGATACGAAATTGAATGTCAAGGTTATAAAATATATTTTGAACTTACTTAGCAAAAGAAAGTTGTTTAGCTGAAAGCATACGTGTTATAGTCACTGGCTTAGTTCAGTACTTAGGTTTAAAATTAAGCCTTACTTTCAACTTTAGCCCCAACTAACAAAAATAGGCCAAAAACTTGCGTTAAGACTAAGCATAAAAGTTGTGTCGAAGGCCTAAGTCCAACTTTTCACTTTCTATCATCTTAGGGGACAAAAAATACTTGATTAAACAATTGGTGTGGCTAGTAGCAATAGGTGCAACTCATTTTTGTGTATTATTTCGTAAATGAACCTACTTAACTACTTTTTATATTGTACGTTAATGGACTTAGGCCTAATATTAAGCTAAGCGATTTTAAGATATTCGACAGTGCCACGTGATTACAAGTTCAAACAATTAAGAAAGAAGTCACGTGTAGAGATGCTTGCTTTTGAGAAAACACATGTTAATTTTAAAGTATAATACTTATCGAAAAATATTATTATTAGACATTTTATATTTTTAGGCACTGCATTCCTTAGTTAGTCCCATAGAGCTTTTTCATGAAGAAGAGTGCATAGTAGTATTT